GTGTGTGTGGGTGTGTGTGTGTGTGTGTGTGTGTGTGTGTGTGTGTGTGTGTGTGTGTGTGTGTGTGTGTACGCGCTGTACCAGAATCCATATGTTAAATGCATGTTGTGTTCATCTGAAGAAGTGGACCGAGAAATCATCTATTGGAGTTTCTAGGAAGAAAAATCAAAATTCTACATCTTTAAAATCTAGGGCCAAATCTGTATATCATTATTCATGCAAGTGTCTGTAGTGCCATTGACTTCAATAAGATAGTTCAAGTAAAGTAAGTTGAATTTGATCTATATTTTCTGGTAAAAAAAATTGGAAGTGGTAGTACACTTTCTGTGCCTCAGTTGTGATATCTAAAAAGGTCACTGCCCAGTTAAAAAATCTGTATACATTTTAAGTATTTCCTTCCGTCTTATATCACTTACATTATTTAAAATTAAAGAGATTATTTAAAATTAACTATTGTTGCCATTGGAACTGTTGATTTGTTGCATTTTTACTCAGTTTGGTCATTCCAAATAATTAGTTTCACTTTGTGTAGTTAATTTCCCTTTGTAAATCTGAGGTGCTAAAAAAATCCTACAGTGTTTGTTTAAAAAACAAGCATACGCAAACTTTGTTTTTGTTGGAATTTTTACAAATCCAAAGGGAGACTTCTGTTGCGTTTCATTTTTTTTTATAGGATGTTTTATTGTGGTTTACATCTTTTTTTAACCCAAATCTGTATGTTGTCCCCATTGACATGAAAGTATCCCCTTTAATTGTTCAGAATATTCACTTCAAAAGGTCACCTCTTATTCTGCAAAGAGTTGCAGAAATAAAAAATGGATGAGGCTTCTGAGGTAATTTGCCTAATCCTCTGCTATTGTAGAGTTGAGTTCACATACTGCAAGGTTTTTGTTATGTGAAAATAGTCTCAGAACCAAGCCACATACACAATTGAAAGCAATCTCTCTGATTCATTAATCTGGATGGACTCTTTCAAAAAATGAGTAGTTAAAAAAAAAAGCTTAATTAAACAAATGTAGAATCTTTGTTTAAATATGATCAGGGATGCCATTTGGCTTGTGGGGTCAAGAAAACCTATAGCAACAACAAACATTTGGTCACCGTATTTTGCTAGTGGGTGGATAAATAAACAAAAATCTAATATTCCTTAAATAATTACTGAGCTAAACCAGGAGCCATATATAATTTCCACATTACATTGAGTCAAACTTGGGATTGGAATCAGTGTTAACTGCACTCCATTTTTTCTGCCCTGAGATAGGTTTGCTAGGCAAAATGTCCCAAAAAACATAGTTTTGTTTGAAAAATTCAGTTGTTTCCTGTAGCCTTGGTGTAAACCATTATAAACCTTAGTGCCTAAAAAACCTTGAATCTGTTCAGTTCAGAATCTTGGCACTTTATTGTGTCCTTCATATCTTAGTGCTGGGCATGGAAAGTAAGATTTAAGTTACAGATATGTTAAGCTAATTATTAGGATTTTTTAACCTAAGGTGAATATTTGAGGTAAAATGTGGCTCTGTAGGAATTCCGTTAATAAACACACTGTCATAATAGGGATGTGAATCCTTAATGGATGATGTTTACTGGGTAACAGTTAACCGTTACCCAGGAGCAGCTTCCTCACCTGCAGCCTGCCATGAGTAGAGGGCTGCTTCAGCCCCGTGGGGCTACAGGCTCTCAATTGGCTCAGCCTGGGAATCGGCAGCTTTGCGTGGGGCTGGAAGTGGCAGTGGGTAGGGGGTTGCCAGCTCCCAGCCTGTGTGGTCACCCTTCCTCCTCCCCGGCTGCCGCTTCCAACCCTGTGCAACGCTGCTGGCTCCCAGCCTAGCACTGGAGCAGAAGCAGCCGGGTTGGAGCAGTCCATGGCGTGGGGGGCTGGAGTAACTCACCCTTGTATCCCCATGTATTTTGCTAACCGATAAAATTTAATGTTTAACCGGTTAACTAATTAAATGGGATTTTATATCCATAAGTCATACATGGATTAACCTTTGGTGTGGAATAAAGGTGTCACAAGGGAAACAAGTGTAGAATAGTTGTTCCACAATAATTGTTCTGGAATTTTCTCTATGTAGACAAGTCCGTAATCCAACTCAATTGCCTAAAAAGATTGGAAAATGCTTTCTTGGGAGATGCCGATTGGTAGCATTAATGCCATATCTTATATATTCTTTGTGCTTGATGCTTTATGGTTTACAAACAGCATGGGATGGTTGGGTCTTTAGCGTGGTGAAAATGTAAACTTACAGTGTCCATAACTTTGGTGGAGCTAGAGACATCTCAGTGCTTTGAAGAGAAAAAAAATACTGCTTGTCATATTATGTATATCTCAGTTCAGGTGCTAATCATATTAATGTCTGTATCCTGCTTGCAGGAATACTTTTCTAGAAACCAACTAGAAAGCCACTGTTATTGTAATAGCTAGTGGAACTGATTTCTTCCTGAATGACAACCCTGAATGTGATCCACTAGATACCTGAGTTAACTATCTTGTTACAAAATTTGTTACTAATGTATGTCTTTGGTTTCTGATTTATTGCAGGTCTTATCACTAGCAGCCAGTCGGCAGCCTACGCTATCAGTAAATTTATCAGTGGTGTCCTCTCTGATCAAATGAGTGCTCGCTGGCTCTTCTCATCTGGCCTTCTTCTGGTCGGCATAGTTAATGTTGTCTTTTCTTGGAGCTCTACTGTTACAGTCTTTTCAGGGCTGTGGTTTCTGAACGGTCTGGCACAAGGACTGGGATGGCCACCATGTGGGAAGGTACTGCGCAAAGTAAGTATACTTTGAAAATCCCCCCTCCTTTTTGGGGGGGCGGGGCAGGGGTACACTCCCAGATTTAAATGCTAGGAGTAGTGCTTAATTTGTTTTATAGCAGTGGTCCCCAACCTTTTCAGACTGCCGGGTGCCCAGGGGCGGGGCCACTCACACGCCAGGCACCCGGGGGCGGGGCCACTCATGCGCCGGGCACCCGGGGGCGGGGGTGCACATACGCCTGGGGGTGGGGCCACCCATGCGCCGCACTCCCAGGGCAGGCGCTGCTTCTGTGCCGCACGCCCAGGGGTGGGGCTGCCCATATGCCACGCGCCCGGGGCTAGCACCGCCCCTGTGCCGCACACCCGGGGGCGGGGTCAGCCCCGATCACTCGGCAGACACACAGAAATGGCCCGGCTGGGGGCCTGGGCTCCCTGGCCGGGTTGGGGACCACGGTGTTATAGTTTATTTTGGCAGTTCCTAGCCCCAGCACTTCTGAGCTTGCTGTGTCAATTACGAAAGTGAAATATCTCTTTCACTACAAATGAAGCCCTGACTAGGAGACCTGAATAAATGATGATACAGGAATGCTTGCTTTGTGTGATATTCATAGCAGCTCCCCCCAGAAGAGGTGTTGTATGGAGAAAACCGCAGCAGTCCTTGTGCTTCGTTGGCAGTTCCTAGCCCCAGCACTTCTGAGCTTGCTGTGTCAATTACGAAAGTGAAATATCTCTTTCACTACAAATGAAGCCCTGACTAGGAGACCTGAATAAATGATGATACAGGAATGCTTGCTTTGTGTGATATTCATAGCAGCTCCCCCCAGAAGAGGTGTTGTATGGAGAAAACCGCAGCAGTCCTTGTGCTTCGATCAGTGCCATCCCATCCACAGGATGGTTCGGTGCAACCTCCCCAGGTCCTGCACAATCCAGGGGACTAGCAGGGGACCTGGTACCTGCAGCAGAAGTCAGATCTGCTCTGCATTCACTGATGGTGGCAGGAAGCAGTGCTACCTGACCCCAGCCATGTCGCTCAGGGGATGGGCTGGGGGAAGAGGTGGGACTGACCCCCCACATTCACTGGAGGCAGGGGGAGGTGGAGCTATGTGGCTGGGAGCCAGCAAAGCAGAGTGGGCTGAGGTTGGGTCATTCCACTTCCCACTGCCATGCCACTTATGCGTGCAGGGGTGGGCTCAACCCTTGCTACTAGAGCCAGACCTTCTACTAATGCTCCAGGCTGTGTCATTTGGGAGGGGGACGGGTGGCGCAAGGGTGGGAAAAGGAAGGATCAGGCCTGAGATGGAGTAGAAGTTGTCCCAGACCTCACACTCTCCTAGCCATGGCCCTGGCTAGGTTGGTGGGTGAATTCACAGCTATTCCCACTTCTCCTAGCAGGAGATGTAGTGTAGGTATGGCTCCAGGCGTGGTGTCTGTGAACTCTTGATTGCTCTATCCCTGCCATCCCTGGAGAAGGAGTGTCTCATGCCTCTTGCTATGTATTCAAGCCAAGAACACTCAAGTTGGAGAGTTATTTACTCCATTTGTTTGTCTTAAGCATGAAGCTTTGGTAGGTAATTGTAGTTTAATTTGCTAAATCACCATAGCAACAGAATTTGTAGTCATGAGAAACCCCAATTGCTGGATTCCAGTCCCTGATTTGTGGAAACAGAGGCACCATAGCCTCCTCCCTTTAGCAGTTGTCCACTGCTGAGCGAGGGAATGATAATGAAGTTTGGTTTAAACTGGCAGTGGGCACATAAGTTATAAATCACAAGCCAGATCATGTTGCAGTTCAGGATATTTTGGGAGAATGATACATACTCCTTCTGCTCCAGGAGGAAAAAAAACCTACCAGTCTGCCTGCACAGAATGTCAAGAGACATACAGTATGTGAACAGGGCCCCTGCTGAATTTTGTGTATATGCGTGCGTGCGTGCTGCCTCAGAAGCCACAACTGGATAATTTAGCCATGGGAAGAAGGAAAAGTTTACCATTATAAAGCTAGGGGCTAAAATCTGTGGTTCTCTGTAGAAATGTTCAAATGACATGATCTAAGGCAATAACAAAGAAGGCACTGCCATGGAGAAGGTCTCACCCTTTCTTCCATACTAGCATTCGTAGAAACTTCCCTGTAAACCAGGTGCGAGCAAAATATAGCCTACAGGCCAAACCTAGCCCACCAAGCCTTTGAATGTGGTCCATGGCTTACCCCTCTGGGATCCTCTGGGTTCTGGCCAGTGGGAGTGAGAGATTGGGCTGGGGGTGGGGACAGCATGTGAAGCCTCCCCCTTCCAGACCTACCCAGACCCTGCAGGAGTTCCCAGCTGTCATCAGGCTCCATGAAGTGCTGCTGCTTTGAAATGCTTTGGGGAGCCCACCGTCCGGCTCCCAGCGGCATTTCACAGTGTCAGCGCTGCATGGAGCCTTGCGTCAGCGAGGGAGTGATCCCGGGCTTCACGTGGTGCTTCTGCTTTGAAACGTCATGTGCAGCCCAGGGCCCGGGCTGCATACAGGATTTCAAAGCAGCAGCACCACATGGAGCCTGGGATCTGGCCCTGGGCTCCATGCGGCGCTGCCACTTTGAAGCATCCCCTCTTCTCCGCTGCCTCTTTCTGATAGAGACAGCAAGGGCGGGGGGGAGTGACTAGTTGTTCACATCCCTACTTCATTAATGTTTTCAAACAGCTCTGAGTTTCTTGGATGAAAGGGAATGTTAAAGAATAAAATATTTTTTGCATCTACTTTTATAAACATCTATCTGCTAGGATCTGAATTGGCCACGAAGGGACTATTTAACTGCAGGTTTTTGGAGATGAATCTAATTCCCACTCCAGGCATCTTTGCTCACACTCTCTATCTTTCCCTGTTGCACAGTGGTTTGAGCCTTCCCAGTTTGGAACGTGGTGGGCAATCCTCTCCACCAGCATGAATCTGGCAGGTGGCTTGGGCCCTATTGTTGCTGCTCTGATGGCTCTGAGCTACGACTGGCGCACAACTCTATCCATCTCTGGCTTCATCTGCATGGGCACCTCATTTGTTTGTCTTGTTCTGATTAAAAATGAGCCCTCTGATGTTGGGCTACCAAACATTGAACCAGGAACCACGAAAGGGAAAAAAGGTGAGCATTAGACTCCTCACCTTACAATTAAGGAGGAATGTAGGCAGAAAGAGGAGAAGGGACATGTTCTACCAAAAATTGAAAATATGAGTCTCCCTGGTGCAGGAACCAAACCCTTCCAATTTCCTGAACTTGGTGCTCACAGTATTGAACTCCAGATCTGCTTGCAGTAGTATACTACAAGGTATCACGGGAAGAGAATCCTTTGTGTGTGCCAATCCCTGTGTGTCTTCTAGTGTGAAAAAAAGCAAGAGACTGCCATCTAATGCGTGGTTATAGGTCAGGGAAAGTTCCTGAGCCACTTTTACATTTATTCCCAGCTTTTCCACTGACTCTGTGGACCCTCAACAAGTCACTTCAGCTCTGTGTGCCATAGACTCCCCATCTGTTAAATGTCTCTGTTAATATTCTTCTATTTCCCATGGGGTCTTATATTATTCATGTCTGGCATGGAGGATCTCAAACATGACAAGTGTAAAGTAAACATTGTGTTGGACTTCTAATCTCACTGTCAGCTACTCCTGGTATTGTGGCAGCCGGTCCTGTGAGACTCACAGGATCCCAATCCTACTGCAGGGCTTTATGCTAATTCCATGCAGAGCTCTAGTGCAAAGCATAATTATTTGTTCCTACTGAACAGCAGAGAGAAGTGCTACCTTTGGCATGTCCCCACAGGTCTCCAATAAACAGAGAATTCTGTCTCCTGTTTTATTGACCCTAGCTTGAGTGGACTCTGATCAACATTTGGTGTCCTGAATTAGGACATGTAGTTAATAAATATTGGTTCAATTCACTGGACATGACGCTTCTCTTAAGAGCAAAAGGTCTGGAGGTTGTTGCATCACAAGGTCTGTCACTGTATTTACAAGCCTACAAAAATTTATGTGAAGTACTGACTTCTGCATTGCCTTGTAAATCTTTTGTGGATGGAATTGACGTTTGGTAACTGTCCTGGGAACACAATTGATACCACAATTGTGTTTTGGGGATATGAGTGTTAGCAGATATAACTGGCAGGTTCATGTAAGAATGGAGAAGCTAGCTTAAATGCAACATGCTGGGTGGGATGTACGCAGCTTCTTTCACAGATGAGTGAAGAAGATTGGAAACAAAATATGAAGGAATTGACAGCATGTTCTCCAATATCCTCTATTCACTGGGAACCGTACGAGAACAGAGTTATGCGAAGTAAAATGTTTATCATTGTGAGCTTTTTAATGTAACTAAGTGGAATAAATACCATAGACAGGATTCTTTGTACAGAGCAAATGGGTGGTAGCAATGGCCAATCACGACTAGTTACTATGATCTACTTTTACATTTAGAAGAGATTTACTGTTACAAGGTTGCTCCCACTATGCCATAGGGATGTTAGAAATTGTTTATTTTAGTAATCATGTAGCCGCAATATTCTTAGCGGTTACATGGTTATTAAAATGCTTCCCGTCCATGGGTAGCCCCGAGCTCCTTGTGGTCAGAGATTGCTTCACCATCCCATGGAGTAGCCTCTGTCTGCGGCGAGCCCGGGCCCCCTGTGGACAGGGGCTGCTGCCATCCTGCACTACTGCCTCTGATACAGGATCCCCGCATAGACTGACTCTCACCTGCCATCCCGTGCTGCTGTCTCTGCATCAGAGGCAGCAGCATGGAGTGGCAGGTGGCTCCCCTACATGCTGTTCATTTAAAACTTGACCAGTAGGCTGGGACTGAGCTGGCCTGTTGGTCCAAGTTTTAAATGCAGAGCATGCGGGGTGGAGGATGTTGTGGTTAACCGGGACTGTTAACCAATAAGCAATTGCTTAGAGGTTAAATGGTTTGCTAACTAACCGCTAACATCCCTACTACACACACAACCCACTTACAGATCATTCTGCCTTGCTGATGGGTTGACACTACCCTGTTGCTACATCCAAGTGGTGTAATGGTGTTTTTACTGTTTTGCCTTTCAGGCTTATCTGGAGATCATAGCACACTGGCAGAGCTGCTTCTCTCACCATACCTCTGGGTCCTTTCAAGTGGCTACCTGGTTGTCTTTGGAGTGAAGACGTGTTGTACAGATTGGGGTCAGCTTTTTCTGATTCAGGAGAGAGGACAGTCTGCTCTTGTGGGTAAGGCACAAGAGCCTCGTTTTAAAGCTCAAGGATGTAATTTTCAAGATGTTCTGTTCCCATTTTAATGGGATCTGAGTGTCCTTGAAAATACCAGTCCAGATGATTAGGGTCAGCAAATGGTACGGGAAAGAAATACATTTCCTGATATTGGTGCACAGGAAAATGCATGCACTACCTCATTAGATCACACTTTCCAGTTCACCCTGGTCTTGAGGTAAGCCAAGGTGCCCATTGGTGACTGTTTGGTGACATATATGAAATGAGTTTGTGACTGACCAGTTCCTAATGATCAGGTGCATGACCAAGAAACCCCCAATACAAAGGGCAGCAGTTGGTGCCTTTGTAGAGACACCAGTGAGTGACTAAGTCATTGTGATTGACCTGTTGTCTTTTCTCACCCTAAGTGAGCCTCACAGATTGGTGTTTGTCTCTCTGCCAGTGTGTCCCATATGCGAGAGAAATCTGCCATGGTACTGCCTGGTTTGCCCCTGCTCTGTGAACAGAGAATTTCAGTCTCCTGGGCTGTTGCTGTGGTACTACCCCTCAGGTCTTAAATCAAACACTACTTAACTAAAACCAACAAACCGTATCAGATACTCTGAGAAGAACTGGGGAACCTAGGAGACCAAGCAAAGTATAAGCATGTTCGTGCTAGTTGTTCTGTTCTCTCTGATATGCCTTTATACTGAACTGTTCCCTGTGCACAAACATAAACCATTCATAAGAAATTGGTTTGGTGTTTCCTTCCTGGATCTGATGCCTAACCACGCCCTCTTATCCTGTGTTCTAGGCAGTTCTTACATGAGTGCCTTGGAGATTGGGGGCCTGGTAGGAAGCATCGCAGCTGGGTACCTTTCTGACAGAGCAGTAGCACGGGTAAGCAGTCTGGAACCTTGTCCATTGTGTTTTTCTCAGTAGCACAGATGGCAGATCTCAGTGCAATAACTGGAATGTCTGGTAACTCTAAACTTTGAGGTATCAGGAGTGAGAGAACTGAAGAGGTTAGAAGTTGTCACCCTGAGGATGTAAAATGCAACCTTCCTGGATTGCCATGGCATGGTGATGCAGATTCAGTGACACTTGAAAATCTTTTTTTCTTTCTAAACATTTCAGAAGATACAAAATCTTTCTTTGTAACAGCTGGGCTTTTCCAACAGACTGATGGAAGTTAGGTGCCTATTTTGTGTAGGCTTCTTTGAAAACCCCAACCCACATTCCCTGTGCCCAGTGGCAGGGGTAAGGAGTATGGGCAAACTCCATAGTAGAGGTGGTCACAGGGACAGATATGCCAGCAGCTGTGCTGAGTAAGCGTCCGGAAGCTGCTCTAGCCTTGCTATGCTGCCAGTAGTGGCCCCAGCGAGTTTTAAATTACCCATGGGCAGCAGGCAGGGCTAGGGGATTCTGTGGAGGACAGTGGGGAGTACTGGCCCCAAACTTTGGTGGAGCAGGGCCCCCCGGTGAGGAGTATTCTTGATATCTGGGTACCATGGACCCATATAACTTGCCACCTATGAAAAGTACCTGTGAGAAACATAACCACCTATAACAATTTGAAATAGTAATTAATTCACATGATGATATAGAAACCAATGTACACTAATCTACAGTTCATTGGTTTCATTCACTGATTTTTGTGCAACCCTACTTCTCCAGTTCATTTATTGTGGGTATGCACCTTGTGCTCTCAGGCTTTTATTCAAACAAATGCCAAAACACAAAATGAAATATCACTTACAACTGTCAGAACAATGAAGCAATTTCCACCAAAATAGTAGTTCACCTGACTCAAAATTCAGGGTTATCAAAGACTTGCAGGTCTGGACTAGGGATGTTAACTATCAGGTAATATAATAGTCGACTAACTGCATGAATTCTTAGTGGTTAGTCGACTATTCTATAGTCCCCCGGGGCGGGGCCAGCAGCTAGTGCAGTCCAGCCCCATTCCCGGGGAGCCCCCTGCCACTTCATGCTGCTGCCCCTGTATCAAAGGCAGCAGCATGGGGTGCCAGGCAGGAGCCGGTCTACAAGAGGAGCCAATTTAAAAATCAGTTCTCTGTGCAGACCAGATGCCTGCTGCCCACACCACTACTTCTGATACAGAGGCAGCAGCACAGGGTGGCAGCAGACCCTGTCCAGAGGGGGGGTCTAAGCTCCCTGCAGACAAAGGCTGCTGGGGAACAGAAGGGAGTGGGGGAGGCTGCTGCAAAGCAACCTCTGTCTGTGGCGGCCCAGGCTGGCTGTGCACAAAGTCTGCTCTGGCAGCGGCCCCAGTCTGCGGTGGCCTGGGGTGGCCACGGACGGGGGCTGCTGCTGGAGCAGTCTCCGTCAGCAGCCAGCTCGGGCCGCCGTGGACAGGGACTGCTGCCTGATAGAAGCAGCAGTGTGGAGGAGAAGCGGGGGGCAGGCCGCACCACAGAGACAGTGCTGGGGAGAACTGGCTTTTAAGCTGGCTCCCCCCAACACTAGTCCCTGCTTTCCCCCTTCCCGCCTCTGATACAGAGAAGAATTCAAGTAGTCGACTAGATTAACCTATAAATTTAGGCTTTTCGGTTAGTTGACTACTTGCTTACATAACTAGTCTGGACTGAGTTTTGTAATGAAATTGAAAACCAGGTGAATTGTGCCTAGTTATGTTAAAAGTTTTTCACAGCCTAACAACTAAATATGTGTCTCTCATGTCCATAAGGGTATGTCTACACTACAGCGCTAATTTGAACTAACTTAGTTCGAATTAGTTAATTCGAACTAAGCTAATTCGAACTAACGGATCCAGACTAAAAAACTAGTTCGACTTAGCGTTTTGCTAATTCGAACTAGCATGTCCACATTAAGTGGACCCTGAACCGGGGTTAAGGATGGCCGGAAGCAGTGCCGGCAGGGCCTCAGATGAGGACTTAGACCGTGGAGCTTCTGCCTCAGGCTAGCCGAGGGCTGTGCTTAAAGGGACCCGACCCCCCACCCCGGACAGACAGTTCTCAGGGGTGCCCCGCTTGCAAAGCAGTCCTGGCTTGGAGTGCCCTGAGTGCCCACACTGGGCACATCACAGCACTCGGCCATCAGACCGGCTACACTTGCCGCAGGCTGCCATCTGGGCTAGGTGGACCTTTGGTCTGACCCAGTACGGTCATTGTAAGCTCAGGGCTAAGGGTCGGAGGTCTCAGTGGACCACCTTGATTTTCATGCACACCTGCTCCTGGGTGGCCAGGCTGGCAGCTCTCCTGCCCTAGACGGCCACTTTCC